AAGTAAACTAGTAAAATTATAATATGTGAGATTAAAAGTAATACTTACTTTGGACTTAGTATTCCAATAAAAATAATCTTACCAAGAAAATTTGTGGAAAGTCATGCACTAATGTTGCAGTGTTATAGCTCCTTTCCGTCGTTCAAATTCATTTTCTTCATAAATTCAATCATATCCATTCAACCAGGATGCTTTATAAATTGACCCAAATGCAAGCAAGATATTCAAACTTTTTAAAAGAAATCCATTCGAATAATTTAAGTCTCATATTATATTTTTAATTTTTGTTGCAGTACGACAATAATGAGTATGATTCCATTTTTGAGTTCACTTAAAATGCAAAACAAACGAGATAATTGTTGTTATTATATAGGTACCTTAATGGGTGTCATCAAATATCTTGACACACATCTTCACCTACAAAATCCAACTTCCCGAAATTCCAACATCCCAACAACCTAACTTCCCGACATCATTTTACATTTTAAATGAAGATCCGTCATTCTATATACATGTAATAAATGCTAGTGATCGATCTTCATAAAAACCAGAAATTGGACTAGTTTGTCGGGAAGTTGGATTGTCGGAAAATTGGATTATCGGGAAATTGTCGAAAAGTTGGGTTGTCGAGATGTTGGATTATTGGGAAGATGGATGTCGGGATGTTGAGGTAGACCCACGTTATATGTATGTGTAACAACAATCAAGACCTAAATACATGAGATTTTATATATATATTCTCACGTCTATTATTTTCATCCTCACCAACCGTAAAAAAAATTTTTAAGTTTTTCAACTAAAAATTGGAAAATTAGCAACTTGCCAAAATCCCCGAAATAATCAAAATCCCAAATCCGATACTTACAAAATCCAACATCTCGACATTCCCAAATCCCAAAATATCCAAAAGCTCAACATCCAAAATTCTGATAATACTGTACATAAAATAAATATAGATGCGAAATGTTGTAATAGTGACAATTTAATATGTTATACAGTCACACCTCTCTAAACGCAGCTTCGCTAAATGCAATACTTCTCTAAATGCACATTATCATTTGATCCCATTATGGGACTTATATGATAAGTGCACATTATAAGTGCAGACTCTTTATTCTATAAGTGCACATTATTTTTCGATTTTATATATGTTGCTCTTCCTAAATGTATATATCATGTAACTGTAACCAATCAAATGTTTGTACATTAGATTAATAAAATCTTGCATAACAATTAAATATCACCAATAAATTTTTATGCAATTAAATCTTTGATACTGATATATTATGAAATTATAGTTAGATTTTATATTAAAAATCATGATCCATGTGATACTATACAGGATCTTGTATTATAAATAATCATAAAACAGAATAATAGTAATAGTATTCTTGAATCAAAAGAAAGTAAATATTGGAATATTATTATTATGAATAAGTCACATACAAGAATATAATAAATAATACATAAGCAAGAGAAGTGAAAAAAAAGATATAAAGACAAATTATAAAAATAATTTATCATAATAAAAAGAAAGAAAATTTTAAAATTTTTCTTTATTATTATATTAAATTTTATATAATATAAATTGAGTGAAATAATAAAATTCATATATTTTATAAATAAAAATACTTGAATTAAATAATAAATATTTTTAAATTCTAAAATATTATTAGAAGTTTAATTAAGTAATTTATAAAAAGATTATAATACTACTAATTAAATTGAATATATCTTTTATTAATAAAATTAGTAATACATAGAAAGAAAAATAGATAAGTTTGAATTATAAAATCTAGATTACTAAAAAAAAGACAGATATTATTAGTAAAATCTATCTAATTAAATTGTAATCTTCTAGTTATGTAATGTAAGATATCTGGATAATTCACACAGAAAAGTCAGGATATAATATTATATTAGGAAAATTCACACAGAAGATTCAAGATATATAATGATGTTAATTGAAATAGAATTCACACAGAAAACTAAATCAAAAGCAGACAAAAGATTATATTTAAACTTATTCTTTATTTGATGTATTAATACTTTTGTACTTTGTTACTTAAAATTACAAAACAGATACAGTATCTTTAAATAATAAATTAATGTTATATAAAATTAATAATAAAATAAATAAATTAATAATAGATAATATTTATATGGTAATACCTCTGGAAGATGCTTATTAATAAATAAATAAAGAAATAAATGATTATAAATAAAATATATAAATTTAATAATATACTAGCTAAATTAATAGAACAAGAAAAAAGAAAAATTCTACTAAGAAAACTATCTATGACTAAAATAACTCAAATATATCATATATTTTTCTTGATATAATTAGATGATTATGGTGCAGTAAGTCACATGTGATACAATAATAATCTGTAAGATAAATATAATATTATTCTAATTTTGTTACATAAATAGTTTTCTAATTTATTTAAAAAATTAATTTAGCTAGATAATAATAAAAAAATATAATATATATTTTAAAATATATATTTTAAATATAGTAAAGTAAATTATTATTTATTTATAAAATTATATTCTTTAAATTTATATTATTAATATTAGATAATTTTTAAGAAAATTATATTAAATAATAAATAAAAATTAATAGTTATTATATTTAAAAATTAAATAAAGAAAATATTTAATCTTAATATATATTTAAGTATTATTAAATTACTTAATAAAAAGAAAAATAGAATTATAAGAGATTTTTTAATGAAAAAATAATAAATTATTTAATATTTGAATATAAAAAATATATTATATAAATAAATTCAAGATAAAGTATTATTAATAAATACTATTTAATAAAAAAAATAAAGTTTATATAAAAATTAAATATATTTAATATAACTTCAAGTTTTTAATATAATTAATTATATAAATTTAAAAAAAATATAATGTGATTTAAATAAAAAGAAATATCTTTGAATTATTTTATTACTATTATTATTTCTAAATTAAAAAAGATATTAAAGAAATATAATTTAAAAAATATATATTATAAATGAGATTATATTTAATTTATATTAATTTTTATATTAGTCTTGAATTATATATTATATTAATAATAATTCAACTCAAGAAAAAAAACTAAGAATAACTAATTATAGCTTTTTATATTAATATTAATAAAATAAATAAAATAAAATTATTTATTATTAATAAGTTATATAATTTATATTACTTTAAAAATATAAATTATTAATCTTAATATTATATATAAAATAAATAAAAAGATTTAAATAATAGAAATATTATTTGAATAATAAATTAAAATATTTAATATAAAAATAACTAATTATAAAGTAATTTTCTTGTTAGATAATATACTAAGTTATATTATTAATTTGAATTTATAAACTATAAAAATTTACTTTCTTTTTTTAATATAATATTTTGTATTTAATTAATAAATACTAGTATTCTTATATTTTTTAAGTATTATTATCAAAATTATTTTATAAAATAATTAATTAAAAGATATGAATTTAAAATTAAAAATAATAAAATAAATATTCTTATTAAAATATAATTTATTATTCAAGTTTAATATAAAATATTATTAATAATAATATATAACTATTTTTAATATATTAAAATTCTTTTAAATAATAATAATAATAGTAAATATTATAATAATATTAATAATAACTTGATAAAAGAATTGCAAGAAAATATTAAAAAGTATTTTTTTTAAAATAAAATAAATATTAGAGTATTTAAATTTTATTCTAAAGAAAAAATTATAAATAAGTTATTTACTAATTAGAAAATTCTAAATTTAGTTATTAATCAAGAAATTAAGAATAATAAAAATTAAAAAGAAAATGAAGATAATAATATAAATATTGAAAAATTATTTATAAAAAAATAAAAAATATCTTAAAGTTATTAACTTTAATATTTTATACAGCAATATCTTGATAATATTATTAAATTAAAGTATAATAATATAATATCAAGACTATAAAAAGAAATTAAGAGATTTCAAAATATCTTATTTATATGAATAAGTATTAAGACTTATTTAAAATATATTTAATAAAATTTTTTCATATTATTTATTAATTATAATCATATATAATTATATAATTAACTCTTTTTAAATATATAAGTCTTTTTAAATATATGCTTAAAATCCATTCTAATAATATATATTTAGAAAGATCAGACTATATAAAGAGTAAATTATTTTGCAAGAAATATTATTTATTAAATATCTCTTAAAAAAGACTAGAATATTAATTAGCTATTTTTAAATCATGTAATGCAGATTGAATATGTGGTGAGTATGTGGCTAAATTGACTAATCTCCCTTTTGAAATACAGTCAGATCTCTCTATAGTTATCACACTTGGAAAAGCAAAATTGGATAACTAAAGAGAGGTGTGATTATAGAGAGATTTTTTTAATTATAATTAATTAGTAACTGGGAAACTCAAAAAAGATGACTATAAAAAAAGATGACCATAAAGAGGTGTAATCATAGAGAGGTCAGACTGTACTCTAATAAAATTTGATTATATTATAAATAATTTAAAATTTGCAGATTACATTAAGGAATAAGATTCATATATAATCACATTTTCTAAAAATCTCTATTAAACTAATTGTATAACTATATGAATTGATCAATAATTATGGATCAAATATAGTAGATATTGCAAAAATTGAAATTTGATGATATAAAAATAAAATCGAGAAAATTTTTACTATTTAATTAAATTATCATTAAGCTTCGAGTAATAATAGTTGATTATATAACAAAAAAATCACGTCAGGATATTTATTAGAATCTTATCATTATATAACATATATTAATAATTTGCGACTTTACAATTGAAAATTCTGTAATTGAAAATAAAGAAAATCAATCAGAATGATTAATCAAATAATCAATACCAATGTGATGAGTTTTTTTCTTGTCCATATAAGATATATTTAAAATGCCATTTTATAAAATATAGAATAAAAAAATGCCTAACATTAAGCTTCCATACGCAAAACTGTTTGGTAATACACACGATCAAAATAATCAAGTCAATAAAACACAGAATAACAACAACTCGTCACTTCCAATAATAAACATTGCCGCACCATTTCCAGATATCCAAACATACTACAATGTCCCATTCGAATGTTATCTGCCATTAACCATAACATATTTCAGTTTATCACCTAATAGAGATTTATCACATCTTATATTCAGTATACAGAGTTATGTTCCGGAAGATACATCGAAATGGGTGAATTTCGATCAAGGGTTACGTAAATTTAGTGGAATTCCACCAAGAAAAGCTGCTTCGGAAACAATGGTGGCTCTGTCGGTTGATGATGAGTTAATGGAAAGAAGTGCAGTGGTCACTAGTTTTCGTATTTTGGTTTCGTTTGGTCCTAGTGGAAAAATTGAGTTACCGGAAAAGGTTATTGCGATATTGATTGCATTTGTTGTGATGATTGTAATTTTGGTGGTGTTTGTTGTGCTCGCTACGATGTGGAAGAGATATTGTCGATTTCGTCCTGATTGTTGATTCTAGAAGTTTTTCTGAAAAGTTAAGCTTAATAACAATTACGAATTATTGTTATCGTTATTTATTAGTAATAAACCTTAGTCTATAACGAATACATTGTTATCTATCTTATTTGAGGAGAAAAGGTAGTAGTTCATATAAGGAATTTTATATTATATCTACAAATGAGAATAAGTGATAGTTCAAAGTTTGAACAAAATTTTATTGTCGTCGAGTCAATTATAAATTATCTAAAAAAAGAAAAGAAAAATATACAAAAAGTGTGCGTCTAGAATTTTTTAATTTTACAACCTCTATTCTGTTAATCTATTAGCAACTTTAACGGTCATATATTTCCCAGACACAAAGTTATATTTTCATGCATATCTGTGATGAATGTTTTTTTTTTTTTACATTGTCTTGATTAGTTTTGTCAGATGAAAAATTTATGTCAGGATCTGAAAGAATCGATACAGATGTTTAATCAGATGGAGGAGATTCAATTTGTATTTGTGGTGTTTCTTCTATAGAATAAATTTGCGTAAATATAAAATGCAGAATGATTCAAAACAAGAAATTATCATGATACATACGGTCAAGAGTGATTTGCACGGAAATTCGAGTATTCGCCGAACGGATTTCGAGTCTTTCTCCAGACTCGGAAACAACAGGTAAAGCACGGCTAGTATAAATCGCTTCTGGATGATGTTGCTCAATTTTATCACCCAGTACGATGGCATTCACCCTCAATCTTTCTGCATCTTCAAATTGTTTAGCAATAGATAAATTTCCATCTTCCAACCACTCCGTAAATGCGTGTATTAATTCTCGAGCAGTCGGCCGATTTTCGATATTGGTGTCCCAGCATTTTCGCAATAGTGTCGCATAGCAATCTGGTACTTCGTCTGGAATGTCGGGTCGTAATCCATTGCAAATTTCTTGTGCGAGTGTGAAGTCATGTGCACACTCTGAAAACGGTAATTTGTTCGTTGCTAACTCATACATTATTCCCGCAAAGCTGTATATATCGGAAGCTTTGAACCATTGATCACCTAAAAGCACTTCAGGCGGCACATAAGGAAGCACCCCATAAACTTGTTTTTGTGATGGTGGTTCAATGAAGCGTGCTAGACCAAGATCGCTTATCTTCGGTGAACCTGATTCCCAAAGAATGTTGCCACTATGTAAGTCTTGATGCACGATTCCTGATTCATGGATTGTCCAGAGGATCCAAGTGAGGTCGAGTAGTATTTCTACCTTAGAAATCCACGTGATTTGTGAAAATGATTTTTGCAGGTAGTTGTGTAGATTCCCGTCAATCTGTTCCATCACGAGTATGAAATCTTGTGTTGCTGGATCACGCGTAATTCCAAACCAAGTTGGCATGTCTGATGATACAATATTCCATTGTATTTTTAACTGAACAATACGTGGAAGAAATGGAGGTTAGATTTAGAAATATAAAATTCAATACAAATCCCAATCGTTATAATTTACCTCATTAAGAAAAGTCAAGGTCATTCTTTTCGAATTTACAAGTCTTTTAAGCACAACGGGATGATTTCCATATCGTGACCAGCGTTTATAGTCATGATCCCACGCACGTATTCGCCCATTAATCCAAGTAGCCTTATCTACTATACTATAACCACCCTTTCCGATATTCTCGATATTACTAAACTGATCATATGAAATCCATTCGATAATTCGCATTGAATTGTCAGCAGACAATTGTGTTGCCTTTATGAAACTATTGACTTCATCCATGCCACTATCCCATTCTGAAAAATCTTCGGCGAAATGCTTCGCATTACAATTTTTGCACCAATCGACACCAATGTTTGGACGATGACATTGTTGACAATTACCGAGATCTAGATAATCGTCAATTTCGTCATCATGTATTGATCTTCGTTTACTTCGTCGAGTACTTATTGATTCTCGATGTGATAGATGATTGTCTGTAGTGGTGACCATTGATGCCACCCGCTTGACTCCATTTGCATCGAATGAAATAAACCTTTCAAAGTTTGGTGATAGTGGTCTTTCGTTACCAGCACTGAATCTTTTTATTTGTGATGCACGTGTTACTTCGAGTTGATTACTCTTACTGTCATTGTTGTTGGTGAGGGTGGTCGTTTGATGTGAATTACTGCTTTCACCATAACTATAAAGCTTTCCGTAAAATGTTTTTGGCCTTGCTTCTGGATTTCGAGATTTCTTGTTGTTTTTCCTCTCATTGTTTTTCATCTCATTGTTTTTCTTCTCATTCCCATCGTAATCCAGTGATTTCGCTACATCAATTGTTGGTAATTTATCTTTGTTTTCTGGTTCTTTATTCGACGATGGGACAGAGAAATTAAATTCGGTATCCTCATTTAGTGCAATTAGAGTTTCCCGGAGTTTTGGATCACTCAAGTTTAATCTTTTTCCATTACTTGTACGTCTGCTCAATCGCTTAATATTGTGCAGGGGAGTGAGAATCGCTTCAACTGGCTGTAATTTTTCTAATTGACCATGACAGAATTGAATGTTCTCAGTCTCATCATCATCATCACTGGTTGCCATTGACCAAGTTGGAGAATGAACTTGCACAAATTCAAAATCTTCTTGCATATATGCTTCATTGAGATTGGAATTCAGTAAATCATTGGCAAATTGTTCGTCCGCTTTCTCTAATAGGGCAACTTGTTCGGCTGATAATCGTAACTGGTCATTAGGTCGTGTTTCCGATTGTTGTTTATCATCGGTGGAAGAATTAAAGCTTGCATAATTATCAGTTGATTGTCGTAATGCGGATTTCCCTTTGATTCGCATACTTGAATGTCGGAGACTTGAATTCTGTGATTGATCAATTGATTTTATCACTGATGTCCTGGAAACACTCTCATCCCAGTCTTCCGTCATATCATTTTGTGATATTGGTAGATTATCCCCATAGTTGTCACGTTCAACATCAACATCATCTTCATAGTTATCATGTTCAACAACGTCGTCGTCCTCTTCATCATCCAAAGATCCTTCATCAATCGGCTGTTCTAAATTTTCATTTAAAACTTCAAAGTGCCGATTAATTGTCATGACCGATTGAATAAATGAATTAGTAATACTATCATGGGATCCTTTATTTCCCATGCTACGTCGTTTGTTATCTTGTTCTTGGTCATACGCTAAATAATGTGACAGCGTAGTTGATTGCTGAGGTAATGATTTTCTGTAATCTCTTTGCTCATAGAATTTCGCATGTCTGTTCAGTGTTCCTTTTCGTTGCAAGTACCTTGCGGATGGTCGTTGTTGTGGATTTTCTTGTTGTGTCTCTTCTTCGTCAGCACTATAAAGTGAAGTATCATCATCGATTTGTGTAGCTGTCTGGCAAAGTGGTTTGTGTCTTATTATTTTGCTAGACCGATTACTATTATGACGACTTGCAGCACTTTCACGGTGTTCTTCATTATCGTCGTGTGCTATCGAATGTTGCCTTGGTTTTTTAGAAAATGAATGAACATCTACGGTCGTTTCGTTAACATCACTCATCGTTGCTCTTTTACTCTCCACATTTCGCCCGGAAATTTGAGAGAATTTGTCATCATTATTAAAATCGATAAAACAATTCAAATTAATTGATAATGTATCTCCTTCATGTTCAAATTGATATTGTTTATGTTGATATCTTAGAGTATCACTATGAACAGAATTTGATCTGACGTTAGTAGTAATACTTTTACTTTTCTTCTTTTTGGATAATCGAAGTGAAGTAGTTTTCCGTGAGAATTTGATTGTTGATGGCGTTCTCTTGAAATATTTCGCTAGATGATTATTTTCATCTTCCAGTGGATCTGATTCAACGATTATTGATTCTTCTTTTGGTCTTCGTGTTTTTGTGCTATTTTTTGTACCATTCCGAAGTAGACTCACGTGACGACTTAATGGTTTAGGGGATGAGGATGTTGCCTGTCCTGGTTGTTGTTGGTATTGTTTCTCGTTCTCATCTTTTTTGATCAAATCTTTGCTTGAACAACAACCCATTTCTTTCGGCTAAAAGATGGTTCGATGATGATCCGTTCAACGGAACAATACCAATTTAATCGCGAATAATCGGAAAAGTGTTTTGAATGAAGGGAAAGAAGCGTTTTGTGATGATAATAAATAATGAAATTACAAGAGGCAACCCTTGTTTCGTTTTTTTCTTCGTTTTAGAAGAGTATTATGCGTGGACTAATAAGAATAATCTCTCGTTTATTTTGGATAATTTTATAAGCACATATATACAGGAAGTTGAATAATATTATTTCATGTATAAGGAGAATAATGCAGATTTACAAAACAAGAATAAAAAACAAGAATAAAAAACAAGTATTTTACAAAATAATTTTTTCTTCACTTCTCCAAACCACCCTACTATACTGATAGAGCGTTAAGAAAATCATTCAGGGAAAATTGGAGGAGTTAATTACATATAGTTTGAGAAAATTAATAATAAATACAGTATAGCCATTTTTTTTTTTTACCACGCCACACATACTTTTAGAAATGACCATCACTCGACGTCGATGCTAATTTCGTTAACTTTCACTTTTCTGATACGAATATGGGATTATCTTCAAACATCCTGCATTGAATACTATCAGTTTATTTATTTTGCATCCGACTCGTCGAAATTTCCGTCATTCACGGTATAAACAGTTTTATAATGGGGGGTATTCATGTACGTTTATTATGGGTGATGACACTCTATTTTTAGTGTTTGAGAAATACATGTACCTGAATACCACAGAGAAGGGAGGAAAAATTGCTATGTTGCTGTATTTATCCCGACAATGTGACGCGACATTAAAATTCACTGACGCCAATGAACGGATTATTTGCACATTCATGTACGTATATGTGCGTGCATGTTGTGCGAATTAAATGTTTCAAGGTCAGTATCGATTTGAATTTCGATGGGAAAGACATGAAATAATTGTTTGATAAGCAAACGTAATTACACATTACCGACATGAATAATTGTTTGATAAACAAACGTAATTACACATTATACCGCTGGCAAGGCACCATATACGTTCGATAACGATAACTTAAAAAACGACAACAATCAAAGCGACAGAATTATTTATAGGATTATATCATCAGTTATCTGTTGTGTTTCGCGCGTTAAACCAAAATGCCAGGTAAATTTTTTGTTTTATCTTTCATTCGAATAGAAACGTAGCGACAGTATCGTATTACATGTAATACATGCACATACATGCATGCATCATCAAAAAAAAAATAAACATATTTTGAGTGTCACGTAAATATTTGTTGTTAGGTATCGAGGCGGATTTACCATATATCCCCGCCGAAAAAAACGTCATGCCGAAGAAAGTTTACATCCATGCAAAATTTGACCAACCAGCATTAAGTCAAAGCATGCAAACTATATTGATTCTTTGCCGTTAAAGGAATATTAAACTAGACTGGTTCTGTTAACTGTCAAATTTAACGAGCTAAAGCTATCACCATTGAAAGTTCAAAGAAATATTTACCTACAGTGAACTTTAATTGCAAAAACGAAAAGTTGTTCTTTTCAAACCTCGTTTCCATCGGTCCCATTAAATAAGGTTTTTAGATTCCAAAATTTAAATTTATATTCTATCCTGTTAAGGAAATAATGGTCCTCAATGATAAATCCTGACCTGGTCAAATTCCACGTGTTAAAGTACCTTTCGAACATAACTTGCCGAATCTATGTAGGCGCAATCCAATTTTTCGTCTTAAATTGCGGTAGAAATTTTTCCGAGAGATCACGCGCATTTACAAACACGTGGTTGGAGTAAAAAAATATCTATGATGCACTTAAATGGAGTATATGCATGCATTACACTATTTGAATTACGCTTTTAGAACTTTTATAAGTCGCGTAACTTGCAAGTATAAAAGTGACGCCTCAAGAAATCAAAGTATTTCTCTTACATTCCTCTTCAAAATCATCAATAAATATGAATACACAAAGATTCACTATTTGCACGCTGCTTGTCGTACTCTTATTTGCGTTAAATGTTGCAGTATCGTCCCCCATTGTGGTTGCAACTGGGCAACTTGAAGGCACGGTTGTCGGTATGTAGTTTGCATGTTATGGTATATAATAGTTTATCCAATAAAAAAATTAAATTATCTTTTTTTTCAATATGTTTGTAGCAACTTGTAAGAGTGCTACAGACGCAGCCGGTAATGCGGTGAATGCTTTAGGAGTAAACCCAAACTCAGGCTCAGGCTCAGGCTCAAAATGATCATGACGTACTTTCTACCGAAGGCATACAACTGACAGAAATTCAAGTCAAATCGAAGAACTATTACAAAAAATCGTTTGTTCGAAGATTCATTTACTCGAAAACTCGTCCGTTTCTATCAAATGATGGCACATGTATATATAATTATAGATTTCTTAAAACTTATTTATTCTACCACCTTAGAGTTTTAAAATCGTAATAATATGATTGTAATTATTGGAACATTTCGCTGGAGTTTTTGAAGTGAGACACGTGTTAATAAAGTCCATATTGCTTGCTTTCTTATAAAAAATGGTAAATAGGGTCATGTTTATTACAAATACTATATACATGTATTTATTAATTAATTTTACATTCGGAAAAATTGGACTGGTTCTGTTAATGTTAAAATTTAACGAGCTAAAGTTATCAAAACTGAAGGTTCAAAAAAAAATTTTAGCGGCAGTGAACTTTAATAGCAATTGTTGACAAAAAGCGAAAGCTGTTCTTTCAAACTTTTATCCGCCGGGTCCATTAAATATTTGTTCATAAAATTCCAAATTTAAATTTATACCATCCTGTTAAGGAAGTAATCTCAATGCCTAAATGCGCAATTTTTCAACAAAAAAATGTCGGTGAGAGAATCAGAATTTGTCCGAGTGATCACGAGTACATGCATGCATGAATTGCAAAAGTTTCGTTTTTGATATATCAGGAGTTCCGTTTTTGATAGATCGGCAAATACCCCAAATTTAGGTTCCGTTTTTGATATATCCGCAGTAAAGTCACGTTTTCACTAATACCCAGCATTTTTTGAGT